CAATTATAAGAGTAGAAACTGTTTAAGTTGAAGGGAAAGAGGGTAGAAACAGAGCCAGTGGCACAGTGAGATAGGGTGAGAAGAGAGAAGATGCAGAAGATGGATGACCAAGGATATATTTGATATTAGTAATACCCCAAATGCAGCAGAGACTATTGAATATCTATGAACCCACATAAATGAGGGGTTGAAACCAAATTGGAAACATGATAATTAATGGAAATAATCAAAACCTGGCGATCAGTGAATTGTTTGAGTTTGGATAGATTGCGCTTGTGTTTTGGAGGGGGGTCCCAGCATTAAAAATGGAGGTACAAGGAAATGGAGAAACTTTCAATGTTAATTATTTTTAAAGTAATAGTGGATTTTAGAGATTTAGAAACTATGTCAGCTCTAGTGTATGTATATGTGTATGTATGTGTATTGTGTGTGTGTGTGTGTGTGTGCGCGCGCATGCGTGCGCACGCGTGCGCGCACAAAAATGGGTCACTACAAACAACATTTGAAAGCTCATCTGTATTGTATAAACAATTTTATTCACCTTTGAATCCTTAGCCAGATATAGGAATATGTAAATTAAATGAATGTGTGAGTCAGTAAATGATGTTTGAGGTAAAGGCTTATAAGTAATACTAGTTTAATACTTAAAAAGGACAGAACATTAATTTGGAAAAAAAATTGGCACAAAATAAGAGAGAGAAAAAAATAAAAACTAAATAAAAGAGAAAGGTGGAAATATGTTATCTCCATTGTACATAGAAAAGACTGTAAGGCAGCAAAAATAAATGCCTGTTTCCAGGAGGGCCACCAATGATGGAGTGTGGAACGTGTGTGTGTATGCTGTGTGAGTTTATATATATATATATATATATATATATATATATATATATATATATTTTTCCCTTCTCCCAATAAAAGTTCTGGGTACTTTCATTGAAATCAGGCTAATGTGAGCACCATAGGCAGTTTTCAAAGGAGAGAATAAAAAGGCAGCCTCAGTTTTAGGCAAGAAAAACATGGGTGATTCTTGGATTTCTAAGTAACAAAATCACCTGCTAGTTCCCTGACCTCTGCTCTGTGGGTATCTGGAACTACCTGGCATACCTGCAGCAATTTGCAGCCACCTAAATTAAGTGCAGCAAATTTGTTATGTGGCAGTGCTCTACAAACATCTAAACTCACTATTCACCTTTATACCATACTGTATGGAGAAGGTCTGATAGGAGAAGGGGTGGTAGAGGGTAGAGATATTCTAATCTAGAAGGAGATTTGGGGTGAGGGAAGGCACAGTGAGAGCAGTGTAAATGAGAAGCCTGTCTGCTTGAGCATAGTGCCACTGAAGAGGAAAACCTGGAGACATGTTTATATCTTTTCAAAGGTTTTATAACCTGACTGTCTTGATTCTCTTATTTCAAATTGTTCTTAGTCAAGGAAAGTGTAATTTTCTCTTCATACCTGGATTAAGGAACAGTATATTACTGGCTTTTTTCTATGTGCAAATGGGAAATGAGAACTTTTCACCAATTAAACATAGAAGTGCTTAGAAAAGTATAAAGCATACATGAAGACAGAGCATGTGATTAAAGTAGAACAGAGATGAAGAAGACATTACCAGAATAAATGAGAAGGTTTGGTATATCAGAAAAAGAAAAGCCAACATCCAAAGG